CGCCCCTGCCCGGAAGCCCCCCGACACACGCGGCGGGGAGGGCCGGGGCCGACCCTCGCGACAGCGCCAGACCCGAGCCTCTCCGCCGGGACTCCCACCGTCCCCCGTCACCTCCCCCGGCGGCGATGGTCTGTTCCCTCTGCCTGTTTTGTTCCTTGGACGACGGCGGCGACGGTCTTTTTGCACCCCCGGGAGGAAGTCACCCTGCGCGGCCCGTGGCCTCACGAGCTCACCCGCAGAGGAGCGGCAAGGCGTGCGGGCGGGCGGCGGCAGGAGCGGCCAAGCGACGCTCGCCGTGTGCGAGTGTGTGTGTGGCTGGTGGTCACCGGCTGTCCCCTCGTGTCACCGGCTGTCCCCTCGTGTCACCGGCTGTCCCCTCGTGTCACCGGCTGTCACCTCGTGTCACCGTCCCGACTTGACGTCGTCTCCCTCCGGTTAGTTTCCCCAGACCGAGCCGGAACATCTCACGGCAGGGAAAACTATACTTGAGTCTCTTTTTCACGTTGATCTTAGCAGTGATATTAAAAAAGAAAAAAAGAAAAAAAAAAACTTAAGTTTTCGGTCCTGTGTCGCGCGGAATCTGGTTTCGAGAGGCTTCTAATGATTCGATCGTCGTCCATTCATTCATTCGTTTTTCTTTTCTTTGCTCAAGAGACTGAAATCTACATTTATTTTATTTGTTTCTGAGACAGAGACTCGCTCTGTCCGCCCGGGCTAGAGCGCCGCGGCGTCAGCCTCGCTCACAGCAGCCTCCGACTCCTGGCCTCGAGTGATCTTCCTGCCTCAGCCTCCCTCCCGAGTGGCTGGGACGACAGGCATGCGCCTCCACGCCCGGCTCGTTTTTTTCTATATATATTAGTTGGCCAATTAATTTCTTTCTATTTTTAGTAGAGATTTTTAGTCTCGCTCTTGCTCAGGATGGCCTCCAACTCCTGACCTCAAGCGATCCTCCTGCCTCGGCCTCCCTCCCGAGTAGCTGGGACTGCAGGCATGCGCCACCACGCCCAGCTAATTTTTTGTTCTGTATTTTTTTAGTTGTCCAGCTCATTTCTTTCTATTTTTTTTTTTTTTTTAAGTAGAGTCGGGGGTCTCTCTCTTGCTCAGGGCTGGCCTCGACCTCCCGACCTCCATCGAGCGATCCTCCCTCCTCGGCCTCCCCGGAGTGCTGGGAGGACAGGCAGGAGCCGCCACCCCACCACCACCCCCGGCTCGGTCGGCCGCCCGGGCAGCCCTGATTGTGACCTCGGTGGTCCTCTCTGAGGTCACAGTGGGCCCGGCGGGCCCCGTCCGGCCGGGGCCGGGGCCGGGGTCCCGGGGTGGCGTGGCAGCCGGGGGCCATGGCCAGCTCCGGCCGCTGCGGCATCACCTAGACCCGGCCCGGGCGACCGGCCGCCCAATAGCACGGTCCCCCAGCCCCTCCTCTGCGGTGACAGCTCCCTGGCGGGACCCCAGCCGCCGTCCCCCTGTGACCCGGCCGTCCCAGCGGACCTCGAGCCGCCCTCCCAGCCCCACCGGGGCCGGAGCAGTTCCGGAACATTCTGAGCTGGGATTCCGAGGGCCGGGCAGCCTGGTGAGCTCTGGCGGCCGGGGGCGGCGGGTCCCCCCGAGCCGGTCGGTGGGTGGCTCATAGGCGTGGGGGCCGCCGGCCTGTCCTCGCTGGGATGTCCGGCGACCCCTGACCCCCGGGGGGGGGCGCACAGGGTCACCCTGTCCCCACGAGACGTCGGGATGGTGTGGAGGCCCCAGTACCCCGGGACGGGCCGCCGGGTCCTCGGGGCACTCTGGGAGGCCGAGGCGGGAGGCTCACGCGAGGTCGGGAGTTGGAGGCCAAGTTTGAGCCCAAGAGCGAGACCCCATCTTCTACTAAGAAAAATAGAAAGAAATTAATTGGCCGACTAAAAATATAGAAAATAAATGAGCCGGGCGTGGTGGCTCATGCCTGTAGTCCCAGCTACTCAGGAGGGAGGCCGAGGCAGGAGGATCGTGCTGGAGGTCAGGAGTTGGAGGCC